TGCCGAGCTATGATCGGACCCGAAAGATTGGCAGATATTCAGTGTTCCAGGTGAATTTACTTGATTTTACCATATCCACAATGCCATTCACTATATTCTTAAACTTTAATCTCTCTTCTCGTAAATAAGTTATCTATAATTTGTAAAATTCTAAATCCATTTCTTTATAATTGTTGAACAAATGCTTTCACTTTTGGATAAAAGGGCGCAAAATACGTAAGTTTTGAGCACTTGTTTATGAAGTTTGCAATCGAAACCCTTCCTCTCATTCCATACAAATTGTCATTAATTCTGAATGCATTCAAATTCCTATTAAATTCTATTGATTTGTTATAACACTTGCATTGAATTGGAAATTATATTAATTAATTGTTTTGGGAATTTTATTGCACATAAATTATTGAATAAATTATTACTTTTTTAGGGCACGGCATCTGATTTAGTGGTTCAGGTCGTACTGATTGCTGAATCAATGCGTTTGCAGGCAATGATGGTATAAATTATAGCAATAAATATAAATGTGTTGATAACTTAAAACTCATTAATTGTGAATAAAGGCAACGTATGGCATACAAACACAGACGCCTCTGGAGGTGGAACCGGTCCAGATATGGCCGCCCTCTCAGTTGGTCAAAATGTACGAACTTTTGGGTATAAACGTCAAACTTGGTCTAAAGGGTAGACCCGCCCGACCTATCGGTGCTTTAGGCACCAGTAAATTGTACAGAATATTCGGCCAAACAGTGCTCTGCTATCCCCTCACTTTTGAATTGTCGGATTTCTATTTGTCTCACGACATGGCCCTACTTATCGATGACATCAAAAATGAGTTGCATTTTGTGGGCAAATACTGGCGAATGTCTGGTCGGCCGACAGTTTGTATACTCATTAGAGAAGAACACTTACGAGACGTGAACTTTAAGGAAATGCTCGACCTTTTAGTTGAATTCAAAAAGGGTTACTTACAGTCGGGCCTTAAGATCAAAACGGGTCGACTGCAGAATCTGATCAGTTCATCATGTTTTGAACACTTGGATTTCCTCCACTTATTCCCGTCCGAAGCGTTGCCCAAATTGGAGAGCTTTCGCCAATTGGAGCACACGATGGGAGTCGGCTATCAATCACTCACTGATATCCCGAAAGCTCTTGTCTATAGCGAACCAATGGATGTGGACTTTAAGGCACTGTACGAACACANATACATTATGGTATGAATGGATACCTCGACAACCATTGCTCTGTATTCTGGTGAAGAGATTTGGCACAAGAAGTTCTCCACTTTAGTAATAAAGTTGAGTTCATTTTGAGACATCATTGTAATGGTAGGCCCGGAGGCCATGTGCTGTCCGCAGACCGTGAGTCCCGCGTGAGTGCGTCCGAGAACTACCCATACCTTGTCGTAGAAGTGTTTGGGCGTTCGGCCCAACGCTCCCTCAATGAGACGCCTCTCGCGGGGCTCCAGATCTGTATCGGTGAGCACTTTGTAGAGGACACGTCTCACTTGACTCGGCGCGAGTGACTCCAACGTTGTCTGCTTCTCGTTCTTGAAGCTGAGGTAGAATTTCATGGCCTCAACGAACGAACCGACTCTGATCTTAACGATACCGTCAAACAAGTGAGGAGTCGTCGATATGAGTCGACCCACATATAAGATGATCTCCTGTTGAAGTACGGCATCGTATGGCTCGCGGATCACATCATATAACAGTTCGTGAATCTCTTTGGGAGTGCGCGGGTGATCGATGGCCACCTCTTTGTGGCCATACGTGCCAACAGTTATCTGTTTACCGCTCACTAGTATTGATGTAATGTATGGCGAGATAGAGTCGACCAGTTTTTGCAATATAGAGCTACAGTAGCGGACAACAGACCAGTGCCGCAAAGCCCCGGCCTGTCTCGACAGCCGCTCTAAACGCTCTTTAGCTGTGGTTCCGTCGGGAAGAGTGAAGTGATTGCCTTCTCTGTTGTAAAGTATACCCAAGAGTTGGCTCTGAGCGTAGAGAGTGTCGCAGGTTCTCAGAGCGTCCATAATGTCGGGCCACGTGGGCCTGTGTTCGTACAGTGCCTTAAAGTCCACATCCATTGGTTCGCTATAGACAACTCGAAAGCCCTATAGTCACTCACTAACTATCGGCTGAGGGTAGCACACGAGGTTAACCGCTTTCGAGAGGTTAAACCCGTTGCGAAGCCTGCCCTTATTCACCTCCTTTAGGTTCACAAGTTTTGTCGACGAACTGATCAGATTCTGCAGTCGACCCGTTTTGATCTTAAGGCCCGACTGTAAGTAACCCTTTTTAAATTCAACTAAAAGGTCGAGCATTTCCTTAAAGTTAACGTCCCGTAAATGTTCTTCTCTGATGAGTATACAAACTGTGGGCCGACCAGACATTCGCCAGTATTTGCCAACAAAATGCAACTCATTTTTGATGTCATCGATAAGTAGGGCCATGTCGTGCGACAAATAAAAATCCGACAATTCAAAAGTGAGGGGATAGCAGAGCACTGTTTGGCCGAATATTCTGTACAATTTACTCGTGCCTAAAGCACCGATAGGTCGGGCGGGTCTACCCTTTAGACCAAGTTTAAGGTTTATACCCAAAAGTTCGTACATTTTGACCAACTGAGAGGGCGGCCATATCTGGACCGGTTCCACCTCCAGAGGCGTCTGTGTTTGTATGCCATACGTTGCCTTTATTCACAATTAATGAGTTTTAAGTTATCAACACATTTACATTTATTGCTATAATTTATACCATCATTGCCTGCAAACGCATTGATTCAGCAATCAGGACGACCTGAACCACTAAATCAGATGCCGTGCCCTAAAAAAAGTAATAATTTATTCAATAATTTATGTGCAATAAAATTCCCAAAACAATTAATATTATTTCCAATTCAATGCAAGTGTTATAACAAATCAATAGAATTTAATAGGAATTTGAATGCATTCAGAATTAATGACGATTTGTATGGAATGAGAGGAAGGGTTTCGATTGCAAACTTCATAAACAAGTGCTCAAAACTTACGTATTTTGCGCCCTTTTATCCAAAAGTGAAAGCATTTGTTCAACAATTATAAAGAAATAGATTTAGAATTTTACAAATTATAGAATAAATGCTCTTCTCTCTAATTTCAAATTCTTATATCACTTACCGTAACACCTATACCATTTTAGTTCATTTAAGTGGACCTTGTGACTTATAGACGGTTAGAAAGCCCAGGCTAGTATCGAGCCGTTAAAACGTCTGATTGGATCCAATTCTACGGTTTGTAATAAACCGTCGGTCAATAGTTGGGTGATTATGAGAACCGCCTGTTCATTCATTGAAAGAACCATGGTCAAACATTTGCAAATATTCTAGTAGTTGCTAATGAATGCATACCTGACCCATGTCTATGTCTTGTCTTCTTAGTGAAGGGAGAACTGACCGTTATGCTCCTCATCTAGGCCCGAGACGGAAGAGACGCAGATATATAAGGCCGCCTTGGATTGTCAGCAAAGCGTATTAAAATATAATTTACTAACGGTATTTACATTACTATGAAATATACAGCTACATTCAACCGAAACTGGTATGCGTAAAATGCGAATAAAAACTGACTAGGTGTACATATTTCAAATCTGACTTCAACATGTTGAAGCCAGATAATGATCAAGTATTTTGGTATACATAAAGTCATATTTAACTATCTTGGTATATTTTTAAAATTGATGTCTTTACAGACTAATATTTCCATAAAAAACATTGGGAACTTATTGTCTAATAAACTAAAAATACATACCATTTTTTAAAATAAAAATATACGTGTCGACTTATTTTTAAAGCTGGTTTGAATAGTGAAGACAGAATTAAGCTAGGACTTTTAGTTTTTGCTGTACAGTTTTTGCTTAATTATAAAACATATTATTGAGCTAGGCCAAAAATATTTTGTTATCATATGCACACTATTGATTCATATTTATGTATAAAATTTTACCATAATTACATTATTAGTTAATGAATTATTGTAAGTTTATGTGACATTTTATGTATTTTCAGTTTATAAGACAATAAGTTCCCATTGTTTTCTATGGAAATATTAGTCTGTAAAGACATCAATTTTAAAAATATACCAAGATAGTTAAATATGACTTTATGTATACCAAAATACTTGATCATTATCTGGCTTCAACATGCTGAAGTCAGATTTGAAATATGTACACCCAGTCAGTTTTTATTCGCATTTTAC